GGGGGCGGGGGGGGAGATGGTGGAGGGATGGGGGGCGGGTCCCCTCAGCTGAGCCCCTTCAGAGCGGGGACCAGACTCCCAGAGTGGAGGCCGCCTCTCCCTCAGCCTTGTGCTTCAGGACATGCCTTCAGCAACGCTGTCACGAAAGCCTGCGGGTACGAGATCGGGGCCCCCGAAAGAGGTCACCCAAGACTGCGACACGGCGAGGTAGAGCACGGCCTTCCTGGAAAGCGCTGCCACGCACCTCCCGCGGACAGAGATGCGCTCGCCTGAGCACCGACCAGGAGGTGGACTCTTCCATGACTGCTGGTGTCAGGGTCCAGGAGCCCGGCCAGCCCTTGAGCCCGGCACATCCTGTGCCCAGAATGGCTGGTGTGCTGCTAGGAAGAAGCCGAGCCGCGCTATATTAAGCCGTGTGACTTCCTCTGTCCCCGAGGCGGCCTGGTCACCGCATGGAATGTGTCGCCTTGGGCCACGCACGGATGGAATTGGAAGCCCACTCTGACCTCGCGGGTCCCACGCCTGAGTCTAGGGGCTCTCTGACAGTTCTGAGCTCCCTGGACTGTTCCGAGGGGTCATGCTGACGAGACACTGGCCACATGGCACGCCTGGGAAGGAAGCCCCGCCCGCCTGCCTGCACACCGGGGCAGGCAAGCCCGCCAGGCCCCAGCCGAGAGCTGGATTGAGACGTCGACATCCACCACCGCCCGAGCAGGTCGGGCAGGTGTGGACACAGCAGATGGCTCGGGAAGAGCCTGGAGCCCGCAGCAGCCCTGGTTTCTGGGGATCTCCTGAGGGGGCCAAGAACTGACCTTTGCTCTTTTTTTTCTTCACTTCAAAAGCTTCACGGGTACAAACAGTTTTTGGTCTGGGCGTAAAGTGCCCCCACCGCCCCCACCTGTGCATCCTGTACCCGACAGGTGATTTTCCATCCCTCCCCCTTCCCCCACCCTCTGTGTCTCCAGGGCCCATGACGCCATTCTCGCTGCCTCTGCAGACCCTCGGCTGAGCTCCACTTACAGGGGAGACCACGCGGTGTTTGCTTTTCTGTTCCTGCGTTAGCTCACTCAGGACCGCGTTGCTCCGTTTCCTCTGAGTTGCTGCCAAAGACCACCCCATTCTAACCTCTGCTCTGGAAGCCCAAGGAGGCTGCCGAGAGGACTCTCCCTGTGGACTGGCTGGGCCGCGGACACGCCCTCCCTCAGGACGCAGGACTTCTCCAGCGCCTGTGAAGCCGCGAAGCCAGGCCCGCCGCTGTGACGGCTGTGCCCCCACAGCCCTCCGCACTGGCCAGCCACGTGTCTGCCTCTGAGATTTCACTAGTCTGTGTGGGTGGACACTTACTGGGCCCATTTTGCAGATGACAATACCAAGGCACAAAGCCATGACGTGAGCTACCAGGCCGGCAGCAAGTCCTGAGGCCCAGGGCTGAGACTCTGGGAGTCTAGCCCTGCTCTGAAGGGGCTTGGCTGAGTGGGCCTCTCCCCCAGCCCTGCCAACTCCCTCCTCCCTACGGTCGAGGGGGAGCCCCCAGCAGGGCTGCCCCACCCCCCACGTGCCGGTCTTCCTCCTCATTCCCCAGGGAAGGGAGAGCCCCATCTGGTCCGTGGGGTCTGTCCCCGGGGAGTCGGCCACGAAACGGCCACCCAAACGGCCCAACACTGTGGCCTGGGGCACGTGCCGTGAAGGGAAAGGCTGAGCTGTGAGGCTGCCGTGGAAATGGACGCAGCCGGGGAGGGCCTTTGGGCCGGGGGAGGAGGGGAGTGTGAGGCAGAGGAGGGTCTTGAGAAGGGGGATGCCAGGCGGTGCCTGTGAGGACCCAAGGGTGGAGGAGACTGGGAGCTGGCCGCTCAGGACTCGTGGGCAGAGGTGAGGCCGGTTCTTCAGCCCTGGAGCCGCGGCCCGGCGGGCCGGAGCAGCGCCCCTCTGACCTCCATTTCCTCCTCTGCCCTGGGCGGGGAGAGGGAGGGCTGGTCCGGTGCTTCTAGGGCAGAGTGAGACATGGGTCTGCAGGCCTGCGAGGTCACCATCTCAGACGTCGCTTGCCCCGAGCCTTTCAGGAACTTGGGATTCAAGACCCCTGGCGCGTCCTGCCAAGCGCTGACTCTGCAGGGCAAGCGGTCCCTGCCTCGGAGACAGGGGCAGTCTGCCGTGTGGACTGACCGCTCTGCCTTCTCTCTGCCAGGGACAGAAGGGAGACCGAGGCGTCGAGGGCCCCCCCGGCCAGCCTGGGCCTGCTGGCCAACCTGGCCGCCCGGGCCCCCCAGGACCTCCAGGACCCCCGTCTGCAGGTAAGAGCCGAGGCTGCGGGCAGGTCCCTGCCGCTGCCCCTCCTCCCCAGAGGGTGCAGGGAGGCTGGGCTCTGCCTGGCCTCTCCAGGTGGAACCCGTGGCGTCCTGACGGCCCTTCATGGCTTCCCTCACTGGGCTTCTCTGTGTGAGAGATAAACGCTGTTCTGCGTGTTTTTGCATTTGGAGAACATGAAGAGGAAAGGGAAAAAATTTACACCGAGAATGTCATTCATACTTAAGGTGAAAATGAACAGGCACATATTTCGTCAGTGAACACCTTTTTCTAGAAAAACCTGTCTGACAGCTCTAAGCCGTTCTCTTAAACCTAGAAGTAAAGATGGCATTGCAGATCTTCTTGCAGCACGGTGACAAGGTCCTTCCTTATGGACACACATTGAGCATGGAAGGACATCTCTAAGGTGACGTGACAGAAAGCCAGCTGTGGGGAGGGGGCGGGAACAGCCATCGGGGTCACCTCCCTCACTCTGAGCAGCTAAACTGCGGTCCGTTCTCCGTCAGCCCACAGTGACTGAGCTTTCACAGCCGTCGCCTGGGCAGATGGCAGTTGCCTGTGCAAGAGTCTGTCCTCAGTTATACAAAAGGAGTCAAGGTGATTTTTTTTTTGAGTTGGAGTCCCACTCTGTCACCCAGCCTGGAGGGCAGGGGCACGCTCCCGGCCACCGCAGCCTCGACCCGCGATCCTTCTGCCTCAGCCTCCCAAGTAGCCGGAACTACAGGCACGCGTGGTACCACGCCCGGCTAAATTTTTTTGGTTTATTGTAGAGAACCAGGTCTCACCAAATTGCCTGGGTGGGTTGTGAACCGCAGGCTCAGGCGATTTGCTCGCCTCAGCCTCCCAAAGTGCAGGGATGACAGGCTGAGCCGCCGAGCCTGGCCCGGAATCCAGGCAGTTTTTATGCTGACTTTTTTCTTAAAGAAATGAAGACATTTTACAATTCCATGGTGCATTCTTCCCCACCCTGTGTTTATGGGAATATATTTGCAGACACATGATGGGATGGGACGGACTAGAGATGTCACCTTTTGTTAGATCCTTCTGTCTGTCACCTTTTGTTAGATCCTTCTAACAAAACGGAAGCCGTCTCTGAGACCCCCGGGCTGGGAAGCTCTGGCCTGGGGTGCTGCGGGGGCTCTCGCTGCTCCTCCAGTACGGCAGGAGCGCATCAGGGAAGTCCCTCCAGCCCCGGCCTGCCCCACTCAGCTCCGAGACTCCCGCTGTCCGAGTCCCGTGGTCCCTGTGCCTGGGGACCACCGCCCTTGAGCCCAAGGAATCCGGCTCCACACCATGTGTCCTGAGACGGGTGTCTCCGCCTCGGCACCGCCTCCTTCGCACCCGCTTCTGAGAAGGCAGAAAGGTGGATTTGTCAAACGTCACCTGCCCTCAGCAGCGCGGGAGGCGTGGTCTCCCCGACACACTAGGACACACACTGATGAGCAGGGTGACCGTGTCTCTCGCCGCGCCCATGGGGTGCAGCCTAGGCCACGTGTCCACACTCCACAGCGGTGTCTGCGTGCACTCCGAGCGGCTGGAAGGGTCCTTTCAGCTGGTGCCCGTCCTGACTCTGCACAGTAGCCCGTGACCCTGAACTGCCAACCCAGGGACTGGCCTCGTGGCCCGGACACGGGCTAGTGCCTCTGAAGGCTCTCTCTCGGGCCTCGGGAGTCTGGGGCTCGGGACGTCGAGTAGTGGCCCAGGGCCTGGAGCGGGCGGGCAGCACACCGGCGGTCTTCGCCGTGTCCGCTGGGGCGGCGGAGGGTGGAGGGCAGGCCGGGCCGGGCCGCTGGCGGCTCCCTGGGGCCGTGTGTCCTTGCTCCTGGGGGTGTGCAGCCCACCCTCGGCCACCGGCAGAGTCCTGGTCCGGTGGGCCCCTGCCTGTCCCTCCACCACCAACCATTCAGAGGACACCCGCCTCTGCCGAGCTGGGCCTCTTCCTATGGCCTGGACATGACACTCCTGTCACCTCCTACCGTCTGCAAAAACCCTCGCTTGCTTCCTGCAAAGCTGCGCGGCCTCTGAAGGTGGCTGTGCTAGCTCCCCTGCCTTCTCCCAGGCCCCTCCTGAAGGCTCCAGGGTGGCTCCCAGGGCACAGATGGAGAACCGGGTCCCAGGCTGCAGGGGGGCTGCAGGGAGTGGGGAGGCCAGGAGGCCAGGCAGGGCGAGCTCCAGGCCCGCAGGGAGAAGCAGGCAGGGTCGGGGCCCTTTGGGAGCGGGGGAAGCAGTGGAAAGCTGCTGCGGCACTAGCGGCCGGTCCCCTGCCCCATCCTGTCGGAGGCCACCCTGGTCTGGCCTGCGCTGGGGGAGGGTAGGGTGGAAGCCCCTTCATTACCCAAGTTGCCGGGAAACGGGCTGCGGGTGAGGAGGGAATAGTCCAGTCCCACCCTGGGCAGATCCTGCCTGCACTGGTCAGGGCTGAGAATCCACAGGCACAAGAACTACCGGCTTCCCAGGCGGCGGGGTCTTCTGCGAAGCGCAGGGTCAAGCTGGACGCAAGCTCGGGCCACGGCCAGGGCAGTTGTGGGGTCCCCACGCCCCCCGGGAGGCTGCCCCCGTGCCCCTCTCTTGGCTACAGAGCCTTCCTCCTTCAGGTCCCCCAGCGCCTCACCTCCCAGAACACCCCTGGGCGGGTGGCCTCTCTGGGCCCTCTGAGAACCTCAGGACGCAGTGCTGTGTTCGTCCTTCTTGCTAGGAAACCCTCAGTACGAGAGCCCCGCGAGCCCGCTTCCTGCGCACCGTCAGGGCTCCCACCCGGGTGCTGGCCCTTCCCACGGGGCCTCCTCCCCACTGGGGTCCCAGCCAGATCTCCCCCTGGGGTCACTTGATGTTCCGCCCTCTGGACCCGTGAGCCACTGCGTGTCACCACCAGCCGGCTGGCCCCGACTCCCGTCTCCCGGGAGGAGGAGACTTCCTTGCTCTCTGGCCCCACCGTCCCTAGCGTCCTGCCGGGCAGCCCCCACCCTCGGGCCTTCCTGCTGGCCAGCGGGTGACTGCCAGCCTCTCCCCAAGCCTTTCCTCTCCGGGAGTCTCTGGCCTTGACTCGGCCAACAGACACCAGCATTCCTGCTCCGTGCCATGCCCTGGGGGGGAACAGGTGCCAGCCCTGCCCGTGGGGAGAGCCACCCTGGTCAAACGACCCCACAGGGCCCAGGCTTGCCCACGGGGCAGGCACATGACACAGGGAGCCGTGAGACTGTGTTCAGGCCACCCGGTGGTGTGAGGACTTGAAAAAGCGCCCCCCAGGAAGTGATGCTTGAACCCAGATGGGGGGGGGCAAGAGGCACACGGGCCGGAGCAGCGGCTGAGGCAGGAGGACCACTGAGGCCAGGAGTTCAAGACCGGGTAACATGGAGAGATCCTGTCTCCACCAAAAATAAAAACTAAAAAACAGCCAGCCATGGTGGCACACCTGGAGCGAGCTACTCCGGAGGCTGAGGTGGGAGGATCACCTGAGTCCAGGCTGCAATGAGCTACGATCCCACCACTGCACTCTAGTCTGGGCGACAGAGCGAGACTCTGTCTCAAAACAAAAAAGGAGGCTCCTGGGATGGGCGGGTGGATGAAGGGTGAGGGGAGGGTGAGCTGGACAACCGGCCCTGCCAAGACACTGCCCTGACCAGCGGCTCTCCCCGCGTGCGTGTCGAGTGCCTGTAAAAGTGTGGGTGCCTCACGCTAGGGGAGCGTGTTTAAGCCTGGATGCCCAGGGCTGTTCTCAGAGGTCTCCCTGGAACCATGCTGGTGTGTCCTGCCCTGGGGAGGCCCCACAGCTGCCAACTGCTGGGAGGAAGTCTCCTGGCCGCGTCTCCAGGACACGCCCTGCTTTTCCTCAGAACCCGAGAGGGGCTGCAGGCTGAGCCCAGGCCAGAGTTCTGTGTTCTTCCAGAAGTCAAAGAAACCCACAGCCCAAAGTTGCTCTGTGAAGACCCCACGTATTTAAAGTGATGAAAGTTATCTGCCAGCCGTTTGTGTCCGCAAGTAGCACTTCTAGGAACGGCCTCTACAAAGAGGGGGCCTGTTTCTCCCCAACAAAGAATCCGCTTGGTCCAGCCCTTGCGGCACTGCCAGGCCCTTGCGCCCTGGTGTGCCTGTGTGTTGGCATCTCTGCACACTGCTTCACGGTTGCACCATGGCTGCGGCAGTGCTGATGCCACGTCTGTCTCCAGGGCAGGAAGGAGGGGAGCCACGTCTCCTGCTGGCTGTTTCCTGCTGCCTCTGCATCTTGGACCGCGCTGGACCGGGGGCTTCCATACTTCCTGCCGCCCCGTCGTCACCCTCCCTGGGTTGCCTGACTCTTCCTCAGCCCTGGTAACGCGGCCATCTGTTGCCTCCTAGGACAACCTGTCGTGGGACCCAAGGGGGAAAGAGGGCTTCCCGGGCCTCCAGGACGGTGTCTCTGCGGCCCCCCGGTGACCGTGAACAGCCCTTCCTACAGGGAGTCCGCGTCCGGGCCTGGCTCTCCGCGAGTCCCGGTGGTAAGGCTTGCGGGTGCGTCTGGGGTGCTGCCGGGCCCTCGCCCAGTCCCCCGGCTCCGGGGGACTTTCTCCCAGCACTCGGTCCACACGCGCTGCAGGAAACTGGACATGTGGCAAAACCGAAAGTCTCAAGCAGTCCACCTGGCGGGGTCCTTTTGGGGCATTTTCTTTGCTTTCTTTAGGAATCACTTTAAAATGGTTGAGATTACTTTGTATAAAAATGCTGCACTCCCGTATCTCAGCTGAAATCTGCTGTGTTTCCAAACTCTCCAAGTATCATTTAAAACTTTTTATTATAGCAAAGGTTAAATAAGCGTAGAAACAGAATAGAGGAAGGAGCCCCTGAGTACTGTCTGGCCAGCTCCAACAGGGTCACCCACGCTGGCCCGTCTCCTGGCTTCCTCCTGTGCCTACTGGCGTCTGCCTGCCCACCCGCCCTCGGGCTATTTCCAAGGAAACCCTGGGTGTCAATATGACCATCTGCCTGCCTGCAGGTGTGCCCCTGCGGCCTCGCCAGTGGCTTATGCTGGGTGTCTGCAGGGCATTCCCAAGATTGCACCCACGTAGACGGTGTCGGAGCACTTGACTATATGACATCGCCTTTTTTTTTTTTTTTTTTTGAGTTGGAGTCTCACTCTGTCGCCCAGACTGGAGTGCAGTGGCCGCCCCCGGCCACCGCATCCTCGACCTGCTGGGCTCCGGCGATCCTTCCGCCTCAGCCTTCCAAGTAACTGGAATTACAGGCGCTC